CTGGCATGAGCAACAGAAATCTCCATAGCTTCAACATCAAAAGAATCAACTCTTTTGGGCTTCTTGACAAGCCTTCTCCTTACAGATCCATAACCTTCTCTATTAATTTCCTCATCACCAAAGAGTAACCAAGGTGCTGATTCTGAGTCCACTTCACTACCATCCACCCATCTTGTCGACCCCCCACTTCCTCCAGTTGTGCTTCTCTTCAATAATCCCACTGTACTGCTGCTCTCTTCTATCTCTCCTTTCCCCATTTTTGGCTATGAAATTTCTGCTATAAGATTACACTATCATTTTCTGACAAATTCAAGAATCTTGAAACTTTGTAATAACTAGACAAAGGCACTACTTTTATCTTTTTAGAATTTTCCCATTACAGTTTCACATGCGAATATTATCTCAAGATCCAGGAGGGAATAGGGATATTTGTCTAAATAGTAAGTAGTAGTAACTTTTTGTGAACTGAAAAGTCACCAAACGACGTTGACAATTTCTTCAGCATGATTTGCGTTTTTTTGTCTCAATTTTGATTGGTAGCCTTGTGCTATAATAAAAAACAATATAAGCATTAAATTATGTAGCCTTGTGCCTAATTAAAATATAATATCATGTGATACACGGGTAGCATTCAATATAGGATAAGGAATCAAGACTGATTTTAGGCTTTTAGCGTAATTATCAAACCGTACCTTGAGGCATACATCATGTGGTGTGCATTACTATCGCACGTAGTACTGCCTCTCTTTCTTTATTTATGGTCATGATTGTATCGATTAATCAGTCAGTCTCGAATTAGTTAGGCTTGATTCATAAAAACTTTTAATCCACTCCATTTTAAACAATAAATTCAATAATACATGATTTATTGTTTACTTTTTAGGACAAAAAGTTTCTTCAATAGTTTTGCTAATTTACTGTTCACTCAATTTCACTTTATCATATATAATTTGGAATACGATAATCAAACTAACTAATCTTCATTGTAATGTCATACATTTGGTATTGTTTGGTTGGTTGAAATATTTTGAAAAATATTTTTACTAATAAAATAAGTTAGTTAAAAATAAGAAAAATGACTTTCCTAGTAAAAGTAGGAAAACAAATTTCATAAAGTTTCACTCTACACCAATTGTCTTTTCGCCACCTACCCCACCCCTTCTTCACCCCCCATATAACAGCCCAATTTTTTTTTAATGTTTTTAAGGATCATTAAATGATTATCAATCGCTAAACGCATAGTTTACATGTTAATTGATGGTATACATTATACCGCAGAAACAAATAGCCCAGATCGCATGCACGTAATATAGATAACACATAACAATATATTTTAATCAAACATAAAATCGATACTTGTCTCTTGAAGCGTGATCGAGATCACGAGAAGAGCCTCCAAGCGTAAGCAACGAGACCATTCTCCATTTCCATGATCTTCTACTATGTTACCCAAATAGTACTAGGAATCTACAAAATTCGTGTGGACAAATTTTCTCCATGGAAAAACGTATATCCAAACGTGTAGCCTCCTTGATGGAATAAAACCCTTTATATAGTCATAAGTTTTAAGTATAAAACCCTTTCCTAAATCGGTTGAGTCTTCCTATTCCACCAAGAAATAGGATTCCATTTAATTCATAATTATTCATGCACAATAGGGACCACATAATTTAATTAACGAGGCTTCCTATTATAGACTTAATTCAAAATATTTGAATTAATACTACCATACTAAATTGTGAATTATTTCATTAAAAATTCATAATTGCACTCCTCAGTTCAATTTCGAAATTCTTCCATTAAACCTTATTTAACGGTGGATGATTCTAAACTTCTTGCGAATCTCCCTCATGAGATCACTGTTGAGATTGGATGTGTTTTCGTTCTAGAGGTTATTTTTGTGTTTTGATCGTGTGAGCAAGTTCGTATGATATTTTAGACTTGCGTGGATATTTGGTATGGAGACCCTAGGGCTCGGATGAGTTTCTAACGTGATTCGGAATAATATTGAACTGAAATAGTATTGCTAGTGTGCTGGTGCTCAGATGTCGCAATTGCGAGCACCAGCATCGCAATTGCGAACATAGCAGGGGAGGCTCAAGTATCGCATTTGTGTTACCTTGTTCGCATTTGCGAAGTCTAGGCTTGGGGTAGGTTAGTTCGCATTTGCGACTGTTTTCTCGCATTTGCAAGGATGACAGACTTCGCATTTGAAAAGTCTGTGTCGCAATTGCGACATCTCCTCCTTATGCCAATAGCCGCAACTGCGAGCTTTTCTTTGCAATTGCGATGTCCGCAATTACGAACCTAGTGTCGCAATTGCGACATATGCAACTGAACAAAAGGTTAGAAAGTCGGGATTTTGGTTCATTTTATCATATTTTAGAACCCCTAAGCTCGTTGGAGGCAATTTGCAAAGAGGATTTTCATCTACAAACATTGGATAGATGATTCTAATCAATTTTCAACTATATTTCATGATTATATCTTAGATTTAACATCAATTTATGAGTATCAAAGAGGAAATTGGGAACTTTTATCAAAGTTTTGAAAAATAAAGATTTGAGTTTTGAGAGTCGATTTGGGCTCGGATTTGAAAATAAAATACATATATGGACTCGTCGGGTTATGGGTAGTCAGAATCTATCCTCGAACCTGGGTTTTGACCGGACAGGCCCAAGGTTCACTTTATTGACTTTTTAGGAGTTGTGTAAAGATCAAACCTTTATCTATTGTAATTGGTTTATCTTGCAATGCTTGATGATAATAAGCCATTTTTGGTTAGATTTGAGTCGTATGGTGGCAAATTTTAGGGAAAAAAGCTATATTCGAGGGTTGGTTGGCCTAGTTGAGGTAAGTATCTTGCCTAACTTTGTGTAGGGGAACTACCCCCTAGGATTTGGATTGTTTGCATTAATTGTACTATGTAGAAGACGTGTACACAAGGTGAAGAGTGTGTACATGGGCTATTTGTGGTATTTTGACCGGTTTAGACTTTTAGACTTCTTCCATGCATTTACTTGAATTTGTTATAACATGTTACATCTTTTATTATTAAAATTACTCTCACATGCTCTAATTGATGTTGTTAACATTTGTTCTACCCTTTATTATTGTAATTACTCTTATATGCTTAGTTGAAGTTGCTACCTTTTTATTATCTTGTTACCCTTTTTATTATGGGAATACTCTTACTTGAAGTTGTTATTTCGTGGAATATCTTCTTTTTGAATTATTGGTGTTGATGTTGTGGAAGTCATTATCACATTGAGGTTGAAGTTGGTAATTGTTGAGATATCTTTCCTTATTGAGTATTCCTTATTCATTTTGTTGTTTTTTAGATTCTTGTACGCATAATGATTGAGCCATGAGCTATATATTGTGATAATATCTGTATTGTTGATATTGGCAAGTGTGGTGGCATATTGACACTTGTGGTGCGAGTTGATTATTGTATTTTGGTACTGATACACATACAGTGGTACAAGGATAGGGGTTAATACGCATGCGGTGAGATAAGATAGGAAGTTATACGCGTGTTGCTAGTAAGGAAATTACTTGAAGCCATGCGGTGAGATAAGAGGGGCTAAAACGCGTGTAGCTATTTCGGAAAAAATATTTTCAAAAATAAATGTAAGGCTCACGCAGTGATATAAGAAAAGATTATGAATGAAATTGTAAAATATGAATATGAGGTGTGGTACCTCGGTTCTGATTCTTGTTATACATTCCATGTTAAAAGAGGCTTGTTGATTGAACAGTTCTTGTTGTTCCTCCATTGTCTTACTTGAAAGTGTACGTGTTGACTACTTGTTGCTTCATCATGTGTTCACTACTTGTTTCCTTTACCGGATAAACTTATGTTGTTAGCTTACATTGTTGAATTGCTTATCTGTCATTTACTTACTCGCTTTCCATTATTAGACTATGTTATATTCTGTTCAATTTTCTTATCCTAGTAGGTGTCTTGACCTAGCCTCGTCACAACTCTACCGAGGTTAGGCTTGATACTTACTGGGTACCATTGCGGTGTACTCATTCTATGCTTCTGTATATTTTTGTGCAGATTCAGGTAAATATGTCCGTGCTGGACGCCAGTGATTGATTAGCTATATTCGGAGATTTTAAGGTACACCTATTCGATGTTCGGAGGCATCGAAGTCACCTTCTGGTTTTAGTTGTATTACTATTAATTTATTGTTCTAAAACAGTATTGTATTTCGAGACTAGCAGTGTACTCTTGTAGAGCCTATGACTCAATTCTACCAGATTTTGGGAGTTATTTGTTAGTTATACCTTTTGGGTTTTATTATGATAGTTCAACAGTTTAATTTAATGTTTAAGTTATTATTTCTACTATCTTTCGACATATGTTAGGCTTACCTAGTCTTAGAGATTAAGTATAATCACGACATACTAAGGTAGGAAATTGGGGTCGTGATAGGTTTTTGAAGAAATTTTCATCCCAGCTTCATTGATAAGTGCTTTTAAACTAGTTTTGTTGTATTTCCATAATCACCCATTGATTTTTAACTTTAAATTAACAACAACAACAAACCTAGTATAATCCCACAAGTAGAGCTTGGGGAGGGTAGTGTATATACAGACCTTACCCCTACTTTGTGATGGTAGAAAAGTTTTTTGTGATAGACCCTCGGCAAAAGAAACACTAAACAAGAAGCGACCAACAATAACAACACAAGAAAAAAACAAAGACACTATGTGTAACAAAGTTCTAAAAATAAGAAATATAAGAATATTACTAACAATACTGGTAAGAATGACACAATATGGAATAACAAGGGGTCAAGGAACACAAAAATATAAGAATAATACTAATACTACTGGTACGAGGAGAAGATCTGGACAACCTATCAACCTGCAATCCTAATTCTCGACCTCCACACTGTCACGACCCCAAACCGGACCCTGTCATGATGGCGCCTCTCGTGAAACAAGGCTAGCCGACACAAACACCCAAACCAATTAACAATTATAATAATATGCAATTAAGTTATTAATAAGTGATAAATCACAAAATAGAGTAAAATAGAACAAATGCGGAAACAAACACAGCCCGACATCGGGGTGTCACCAGTCATGAGCATCTAAACATCTGACTAAGAGTATGAAAAAGGACCACACAAACTATTATATAGCTAGTACAAAGAAAAGTAAAGACAGGAAGGAGAAGCACTGGACTTCGAACGCCGAGCAGCTACCTAGTGAACTCCGAACAGCCTGCTGGAAGCAATCA